ACTAAAATTGTGGTGAATTGTCGTTCATGAGACTCACTTCGCAGAAAAAATTAATAAATGTTCCGTATATACTCAAATGTTCGTCCTCGGCACCTTATGCCAACATTGTCAAAATGACAGATTAACGTTAAAATGTCACAGAACCATGAGTAGCATAAAAAGAATAGAATAATCACGTACGGCGTACTATGTACATTATGTTGTAAATATATTCTTTTGAAAGTACAGTAACTTACAATGATGCATATATGTGTAGCGTCTGTCTCTTATACACATCTAGATGTGTATAAGAGACAGCTTTTGTTGAATTACCTTGGTTGGGCTTAATAAATTGGTTTGCGCTATAGTATTATTATTACATATTATTACAATGAATAAAATTATTATGTTATAATAGTAGCATAAAAAGTACACAATGTATGTTTATTAAGATATTTATAAAGAATGTTCAAACATCAGAACTAAAGTATAAAATAAGAGATAGAAATAGCAATAATTAATAATTAATTATAAAGATAGTATAAACATTGGTCTGTGTGAGGGATCGTTTAATGAAAACATCAGAACTAAAGTATAAAATAAGAGATAGAAATAGCAATAATTAATAATTAATTATAAAGATAGTATAAACATTGGTCTGTGTGAGGGATCGTTTAATGTTTCATAGAAGCATCCAAAAATAAAGATTAGACCTAATCCTATTTTTGATTCACTATGCCTTTTGTCATCATTGTTTTTCTCCTTTCTAAGATGACAGAATATAAGTTGAAATGTTGAATCATGGCCAGCAAATTGAAACTCAACAGAATATAATGTAATGTATTCATTAGGCCTACTAAGAATATTTTTTACATTAATTTTTTTTCTTTTGAAAGTTGTATACTGATATTGATATTAAATTTAAAGTGTGGGCTTATTCTGCATTGGTAATCTTGAATAAATAACAAAAGAAATACAACAAACAGCTATATAATTAAAGTAATCCTTCATGAGTTTGTATATTTACAATCTTGTATAAATGTCGTCTGAAGAATGTGGAAGAACAGCCATACAACATAATGCTAAAGTACTCTTATTATTGGGTATAAAGTAATTCAAGAGGAAACACAGCAGACAGAACATGTTTATGGTACTCCTATTTTCGCCAAAAAAGGTCGGACTAAACTCTTAAACATTCGCTATTTCGGATACAGAGAGGCCATGCTGTTTTACTGAGTGCTCTTTCCTGGTTTTTGTTTGTTTACTCCATTTTACCTTTGACACAGTCATGCGCAATGGAATATTTGAAAACAAATCGCCGCGTTGTGTGATCGAAATGAATTTACTTTCAGTTACGCGGACGGGTCTCTCGTGGGTTGTCTTCACTCTCCATTGGGTCGTCATATAACTGGCCGCATCTTGTTCGAAATCTTCCTATTATATCGGTACGTAAGTAACTCACCTGCATGATAGATCATATAAATCGTCTATTTCGCAAACACCACCATTCTTGCAATAGTCGTCTTCACAGACTATAGGGAACTCTGCAAAATATGGTAAACGGAATTATTGGTTGATTGAAGATCAGATCTTGAATTAAAGATTGCACAGTTGGCCATTTTGATTTTAAAAGATAACAATAGTACATCACATTAAGTAAAATGAATTCGTCTTTTAAGGTAGCTGGCACTAAAGTCTGGAACAAACTACCAGCTGATATCAAACAATCGCTCTCAATTAGCTGATTTAAGTGTAGGTATAAGTCTCATGCATTTTCCTGATGTATAGTATTGTATTACTTTCCTCTGACAAAAAATACCAAGGTTTAGTACTATGGGCTAACAGCTAATTCTCCTACGTTTAATATGGGACTACCTTTACCTTTACCTACCTATTATTAGTATTAACAATATCATTTTCAACACTGTTACCAAACCATTATGATAATTTTTGGCATTACAGCCATCACCACAACGGCCATCATCATTAGTTACATATTTCTAATAACGTCATTATCAGAATGATGTTTAAAATCATCATCATATTTATTATCATCATCAGCACCTCAATCACCACCACAATCGTAACCATTCTCTATCATGGTTTTACTAACTATTTTAACGACTCGAGTGGATCACTCTTTAATTGAACAAACCTTGAACACTGGTCTCAATCGGATCAATGCGAACACTTATTGCGTTGTCAGTGGAGTACAGTCTGTCTTCAAAATCTGTTTCGTTGAGCAGTATACTAAGAAGTATTTCTGCCGTATCAGTTGAATTCACATAAAATAGAATCTCGTAAACAGCAATGATACTGCCCTCTCTGAATCCAATAATGCTGCACTCATAGAATGTGCTTGTAGTTTGCAAAGATTCAGCATATATACCACTAACCTGTCGAAATAGAGTGAAAATGAGATATTGCTTCATGATGTAATGGCTTAGATGGCCATGTAGTATGTACATTAACATGCTTACCAAGCAATATCATATAATGTTTGCATAGCAAAACTCTTAAATCTAATGCAATTAAAACTCGAACAACCTGGTAATTTTTTGTCAGAACAATGCTAAATACCAAAATGTATTTGAGTAGCATAAAAAGAATAGAATAATCAAGTACGGTCTACTATGTACATTATGTTGTAAATATATTCTTTTGAAAGTACAGTAACTTACAATGATGCATATATGTGTAGCGTAGTTTCGGTACTTGTCACTAGTTTTATCAAGCAGGGCCGGATCCCAATCTGCAAGTTCTGCCGATTTGTTGACTTCAATAATGCGTATCTGTCCTCTGAACCTCCGGCCAACTAAATACATACAACAATTATAAGCATCAAACTACCAAATCACTGAATTCAAATTATCCATTATTTAGTAACACATGATGTACATATAATAGGACTACATAAAGTGTATCTAAATTAAAGCTGATTGAGAAACTAAAGCGTCAAGAGAGACCTAAATTATATAGGGAGACAATACACTTGGATATATATTGATGAGGCCAATAATTATTTAAATATATCCAAAGCAACACTACAAAGAGCAATGTTTATCAAATGTATTATCAAATTTGTTAAGAATTAATTAAGTTTAAGAAGATGAGAAAATAATTGATGGGCCACGTGTACGTATATTAACATGCTTAACAAGCAACATCATATAATGTTTGCATAGCAAAACTCTTAAATCTAATACATTTAAAACTCAAACAACCACCTGGTAATTTTTTGTCAGAACAATGCTAAATACCAAAATGTCACAGAACCATGAGTAGCATAAAAAGAATAGAATAATCACGTACGGCGTACTATGTACGTTATGTTGTAAATATATTCTTTTGAAAGTACAGTAACTTACAATGATGCATATATGTGTAGCGTAGTTTTGGTACCTGTCTCTTATACACATCTAGATGTGTATAAGAGACAGGTCATGCGCAATGAAATATTTGAAAACAAATCGCCGCGTTGTGTGATCGAAATGAATTTACTTTCAGTTACGCGGACGGGTCTCTCGTGGGTTGCCTTCACTCTCCATTGGGTCGTCATATAACTGGCCGCATCTTGTTCGAAAGCTTCCTATTATATCGGTACGTAAGTAACTCACCTGCATGATGGATCATATAAATCGTCTATTTCGCAAACACCACCATTCTTGCAATAGTCGTCTTCACAGACTATAGGGAACTCTGCAAAATATGGTAAACGGAATTATTGGTTGATTGAAGATCTTAAATTAAAGATTGCACAGTTGGCCATTTTGATTTTAAAAGATAACAATAGTACATCACATTAAGTAAAATGAATTCGTCTTTTAAGGTAGCTGGCACTAAAGTCTGGAACAAACTACCAGCTGATATCAAACAATCGCTCTCAATTAGCTGATTTAAGTGTAGGTATAAGTCTCATGCATTTTCCTGATGTATAGTATTGTATTACTTTCCTCTGACAAAAAATACCAAGGTTTATTACTATGGGCTAACAGCTAATTCTCCTACGTTTAATATGGGACTACCTTTACCTTTACCTACCTATTATTAGTATTAACAATATCATTTTCAACACTGTTACCAAACCATTATGATAATTTTTGGCATTACAGCCATCACCACAACGACCATCATCATTAGTTACATATTTCTAATAACGTCATTATCAGAATTATGTTTAAAAATCATCATCATATTTATTATCATCATCACCACCTCAATCACCACCACAATCGTAACCATTCTCTATCATGGTTTTACTAACTATTTTAACGGCTCGAGTGGATCACTCTTTAATTGAACAAACCTTGAACACTGGTCTCACTCGGATCAATGCGAACACTTATTGCGTTGTCAGTGGAGTACAGTCTGTCTTCAAAATCTGTTTTGTTGAGCAGTATACTAAGAATCATTTCTGCCGTATCAGTTGAATTAACATAAAACAGAATCTCGTAAACAGCAATGATACTGCCCTCTCTGAATCCAATAATGCTGCACTCATAGAATGTGCTTGTAGTTTGCAAAGATTCAGCATATATACCACTAACCTGTCGAAATAGAGTGAAAATGAGATATTGCTTCTTGATGTAATGGCTTAGATGGCCATGTAGTATGTACATTAACATGCTTACCAAGCAATATCATATAATGTTTGCATAGCAAAACTCTTAAATCTAATACAATTAAAACTCGAACAACCTGGTAATTTTTTGTCAGAACAATGCTAAATACCAAAATGTCACAGAACCATGAGTAGCATAAAAAGAATAGAATAATCACGTACGGCGTACTATGTACGTTATGTTGTAAATATATTCTTTTGAAAGTACAGTAACCTACAATGATGCATATATGTGTAGCGTAGTTCCGGTACTTGTCACTAGTTTTATCAAGCAGGGCCGGATCCCAATCTGCAAGTTCTGCCGATTTGTTGACTTCAATAATGCGTATCTGTCCTCTTAACCTCCGGCCAACTAAATACATACAACAATTATAAGCATCTTATCATACTACCAAATCACTGAATTCAAATTACCATTATTTAGTAACGCATGATGTACATAAAATAGGACTACATAAAGTGTATCTAAATTAAAGGCGATTGGGAAATAAAAGCGTCAAGAGAGACCTAAATTATATAGGGAGACAATACACTTGGATACATATTGATGAGGCCAATAATTATTTAAATGTATCCAAAGCAACACTACAAAAGCAATGTTTATCAAATGTATTATCAAATTTGTTAAGAATTAATTATGTTTAAGAAGATGAGAAAATAATTGATGAACTGTAAAACAATAAAATAAATCAAAATATTCATGGAATAGTAGTGGGGATGAATTATGGAGTGACTTGTATACATATACAAGATCTTGAAGTTATTTCGAAGATGAATGGGTAAACAATGGAGACGATAGTTGGGATATATACTTATGATTTTTAGTGAAAGAAATGAGTCTTGGGCTACATTTAACTGGAGTTGTAATTCCTTCAGCAGCTTCCAGGACAAGTCATAAAGAACACTATTATAATAATCCAATCAAGGTGTAATTAAATGATGGATAAGTTAGCCTTTTTATGGCGGCTAGGTTGTCACGGACCAAGCCCAAGTTCAGCACAATTTCGCTTGCAAATTATGGGTTATTCTCCTACCTTAAACCTTACCCATTTAATTATACAAAGTAATCAATTCAAATAACTCTTTTTGTTGATTAAGCTCAGGTTTATTCGTTCAATACAAACATTTTCCATTTATAAATTATGAGAATGTTGAATTACCTGAACAGATGCCATTGACACGCACTAAAGTTGGCTCACATTCGCAAACATAACTTCCTTGTAAATTTGTACACACCTCGCCCTGACCGTTGCATATTGAGGAAGAGATCGCACACTCATTAATATCTGTAAAAATATAATTATTACTGTCATTAGTTTTAATACCATAAACAGGTCAATATTAAATGAATATAACATAGGTAAGTATAAATATATTTTGAATATTGGAGATAGTTAAAGTACTGTAGGTACAGTATTGTAACAAAAAATAGTTTCCTTAAATTTATTATTCCTGTTGCAATCTGCAAAACGAAAGTAATAAATTAATTTAAAACATTGTAGAGATTTTGTAAAAAGCTTGTTTTGTAAACGACCCACTTTCATTACTTACCCCTTGCGTGTTTAGCCAAATGGCAGTCACATGAATGGAAATGTATATTCTTATTGTATCCGCTATATAGTTATTTAATTATTGATTTATCTGTAAATACATTGTACGTTTTGATGATTTTGTGCATGCCTAGTTGAATATTATTAGCTCAATACTTGCCAATCTTTATATTCAATTAAAAATACACCATTGGTACATACCTTCACAGTTTCCATCAACACTGGTATAACCCGAAAGGCAGTCACATCTATAACTTCCGATCAGATTAGTGCAAACCTCATTAGCGCCGGTACACGGTAAGTCATCGCACTCGTTTATGTCTATTCAGAGAGAAAATTTAAAGGAAAAGGTTATAATATTTCAATTTCGTTTCATGTAATTTACATTACAAATTTGTTTATTTTATAGTAGAGACTCTGAGAGCAATGCTTACGACCCCTGTTGCATGAACATATCACAGTTCATAATATGAATTATAAAGATATTTTTTGCTCACACAGGTATAAGTCTTTACTTAAATCTTTACCTTCACATAATTCATCAACACTGATGTAACCGGATTGGCAGTCGCACCTATAACTTCCCATCACATTAATGCAAACTTCACTAGCATTGGAACATGGGGAGTCATCACACTCGTCTATATCTATTCAAGGGCAAAATTTAACAGTAATAATTTTCAATAATGTATAGGTAATTTTTTTACAATTTTGATTATGCATTTGTATGTTCCTGGGCCCCATGGGGGAATTTTGTTTCTGAACAGGAATCCCAGGTTAAAGGAGAAATAAATATAAATGAAGTATATAACATAGGTAAGTATAAATATATTTTGAATATTGGAGATAGTTAAAGTACTGTAGGTACAGTATTGTAACAGAAAATAGTTTCCTTATGTTTATTATTCCTGTTGCAATCTGCAAAACGAAAGTAATAAATTAATTTAAAACATTGTAGAGATTTTGTAAAAAGCTTGTTTTGTAAACGACCCACTTTCATTACTTATCCCTTGCATGTTTAGCCAAATGGCAGTCACATGAATGGAAATGTGTATTCTTATTGTATCCGCTATATAGTTATTTAATTGTTGATTTATCTGTAAATACATTGTACGTTTTGATGATGTTGTGCATGCCTAGTTGAATATTATTAGCTCAATACTTGCCAATCTTTATATTCAATTAAAAATACACCATTGGTACATACCTTCACAATTTCCATCAACACTGGTATAACCCGAAAGGCAGTCACATCTATAACTTCCGATCAGATTAGTGCAAACCTCATTAGCGCCGGTACACGGTAAGTCATCACATTCGTTTATGTCTATTCAGAGAGAAAATTTAAAGGAAAAGGTTATAATATTTCAATTTCGTTTCATATAATTTACATTACAAATTTGTTTATTTTATAGTAGAGACTCTGAGAGCAATGCTTACGACCCCTGCTGCATGAACATATCACAGTTCATAATATGAATTATAAAGATATTTTTTGCTCACATAGGTATAAGTCTTTACTTAAATCCAGTTAAATAAATAAAAAAAAGAATTTAAATGAATATTTATTTAGAAGGCAAGCCCTAAAACCACCATCGTTACCTGTGCATATGTCAGTTGTGTTGCGGCTGTAGCCAGGTTGACATTCGCAGACATAACTTCCGTTTACGTTTATGCACTGTTCACTTGATACGCTACAATCATTAGTATTGCCTGCGCATTCGTCAATATCTGTAAAATGCATCATGTCTCGTAAAAATTCAAATTATACAGTGCATTTTATACTATATAAGACAAATTATACACTTAAGTTTACCGTACCTTCACATAATCCATCAACACTGATGTAACCAGATTGGCAGTCGCACCTATAACTTCCCATCACATTAATGCAAACTTCACTAGCATTGGAACATGGGGAGTCATCACACTCGTCTATATCTATTCAAGGGCAAAATTTAAAAGTAATAATTTTCAATAATGTATAGGTAATTTTTTACAATTTTGATTATGCATTTGTATGTTCCTGGGCCCCATGGGGAAATTTTGTTTCTGAACAGGAATCCCAGGTTAAAGGAGAAATAAATATAAATGAAGTATTCACATTTCACATTTATGTCATTGAAAATTTTAATTTGACTTTATTTGTTACAAAAAAAAATCACATTATTGCAGTGTTTAAAATGGATTTCTTTGAAAGCAAGCATCTGAAAAACCATCCATACCTGTACATGTGGGATTACTGTCGCGACTATAGCCAGGTTGACACAGGCAGGAAAAGCTTCCATTCACGTTTATACACTGTTCAATTGAAACATCGCAGTCATCAGTATTGGTTTCGCATTCGTCAATATCTGTAAAATGTATTGTCCTAGTCAAATAGCATTTAATACTCAAAAATACTACAGTGTGAATCATGGTCCCCAGAAAAAAGACTTAAATTGTATAGAAAAAACCCCCAAAATACGAAAACAGTATACTTACCTATGCAAGTGTCGTTGTTATTTGTAAGCTCATATCCGTCACTACATGTATGACACTCGTAGTTGCCATTCTCAATGTAAACACAAGTGGTAAAAAATCTCTCGGAACAGTTGTCGGTATTAGCTTCACATGGGTCAACTGTAGTGTATTAGAAAATATAGGAGAAAAGGATACATTATGTAAATCTTGCAACTGTTGAATAAGGAAGTAAATAATCCTCATTTTACAATACCTCAATGCAATGTATGATGTTTTTCCCCCCCAAAAAAAGCAATGATAAAGACGTAGCAAAATACACTTTAATTCAATTTATACTAAAACTTTAGGTAGGTGTTTTTCATACTTGATAATTTCGACAACACAACAGAGACCGATAATTCATCCAGCTAGACACATCAATTCGGAATATCTTAAACACTCAAATAATGTCTTAAACCTACCAGGAAGTATAGATGCCGTCTCTGCTAGTGAAACTCTATTGTTTGGCTCAACAAAGTCTTTATTTCTTCCTTCCAAATTTGCCAAGAAAACTCGCAGTAATCTCTCTTCACTAATATCAGATCCCTGACGGAACTTTACAGTAAAAATTGTCTCAGCACCGCCGGATATATTTGTGAAGCTATTGGTAACAGTTTCTAAGAAACTCGCTGACAACTCTGTACCTTCAAAGTATGCATTCATCTATGGAAATGTATTTTTTTCAAGAAAATGTTTTTTTTTACAGATGTAGATTAAGATCGATGTTTGATTATTTATTCTTGGATAAATGCTAGATATACATATGTAGATTACAATCCCAATAGCACCTTACTGTCGCTAAATGTTAAACTTTAATAGTAGTCATAAGAATGTGGCAATATTGTAGTCTTTATTGCAGACAAACAGTAAAAATTTTATTATTAACTTTGGCAACAATAAGTCGATTCCAGTAAATGACTACCATTTTAGAACTAATAATATGAAGAATATAGTTATACATTATATAATTTATACATATAATATATATAATTATAAACATAGATCTACATTTTGGGTTGACCACTATTACATTCTTCCTTCTAGAAACAATTAGTTTTCATTTTATTTATGGTAGTTACTTATTTCTAATACTTACTTGGTTAATATTTTATCTTTGGAATTTTTGTTAAGGAAATTAGGCTCAATATCGTTACTAGTTCCTTAGTTTAATAAGAGGTTGGAAAATAACCCATTAGTTACTTGCATCGTCATTGCCCTGAATTGCATCGGACGTCATCGTTGACTATAATTTATGCATAGAGGGCGCTAATTAGCTTTATCTTCACAACGACAAGGGCTGAAATAAATAAAGTATCGGGAAACTCCAGCTCTCCCCAAAGACGCAATGAGTTGTTTAAAATGTGCACAAGCCAGAACGCCTTTACGTCCTGCAGCTGATCTGAGAAGGTTTGGTTTAACAACTAAGCCCTGGGCAAGGAGGGTTTCCAAACAGCAGATGTTTTAAGACGTTGAGCCACCCACAAGTATGTGAGGGACATAGAAATTTACACAATCACAATTCTATAAGAAATAATAACAAATGTACTTACGTCGTTAGCAATGTCTATCATGGCTTGTTCCAAGTCAAGTAGGTGGTAATAATCATCAACCACCCAACCAAGCAAATCAGTAAAAACAACTCGCAGCATAATTGCCTTAATAGCTGAACAAAATTTTAAAAACATTGTTATAAATTATGTCTCTTCGTGTTTCCTTTATGGCTTTATTTTTGATAATTATTGTTAGTTGAATAAAGGATACTGTAACAATGTTATTTCAAAGTATTTTTATATGTTTGGAATATTGTAAGTATTGAATAATACTGTAAGAATATCTGATAAGTCTGAAAAAATATCAGATAGAAACCAAGGAGCCTTATTGACTGAAAGAGATTTGCTGACAAAAACATTTTACAAACGCATTTTACACACACACAAACACACCCACATATAAACATATACATTGTAATTATAATCATACAATTACTATTAATTATAATAATAGATAATTATTTATTTTCATGAGTAAAGCTTAAAACATACCAACGCAATTTCCACTTTCGTTGAACGTGTTGTCATTACATGGACAATCGTAGGTGCCAAGCAAGTTGATGCATTGTCTGTTTTCATTCTCAGGACAGATGTTAGAATCTTCCATACACTCATTGATGTCTAAATTAATGCAATTTGATTATGAATATTACTATTAAAGACAACGAATTCGTGCGATCTTCGGTATCGATTAATTATTTTGACATGGGAGATTTGTTATATTTCTGTCCTACATACTGAACCTATTTAACATTCATACCTTGACACATCACTCCGTCACCTGAATAGCCACTGTTGCATGTGCAATCAAATGAACCAATGGTATTGCTACATATAGCATCCTCTGCACAATTGTCTAGCTTGTACAAGCATTCGTCGTAGTCTGTAAAAACACCGAAATGATAATATATTGGCATATTGCCTAGCCATATTCTTTTTCATTCAAAAAATTCCTTTCCAAACTATGCGATAAGGCATCATTTGTAGACAATCTGCATCCTCTTGATTGACAAAGATGAAAATAATTGTAGTAGATACATTATCGTAAAATTATACATATAAAATCTATAATCTGTTTAATAAAAGTATGTGCGACAAAATATTTTATTATCATTTTACTGTATAAAAGAAATTTGCGACTTTTCGAGTACAAATTCAACCAGACACTTGATTTCTAACAACATAGATAGAGATCTAGTTTATTTTTCTTGCAGCAGTCAAATCTTTCTGAAAGTGTTTTTTAGTATAAGTTGCACTACTCTACATAGTTTAGTACTAAGTATATTTATTGTCGCTAGTATTCATGTTTTGTCATTTATGTTCGAAGAGTAAATGCAGTCTTCTTCAAACATGTATTATAATAATAATATTATAATATAATGCATATCTGTATATAATTACCAACACAGCTTCCGTTTCGTGCGTTACCTCCATCTTGGCTGACGTATCCTATGTTACAAGAACAAGCATACGAACCTTCTGTGTTAAGGCATGATGCATTGTCGTCGCAGTCATCAGACTCGTCCTGACACTCGTTGAAATCTAATTGAAAACAGGTAAGTTATTTAAATAGTCACAATAGAATCAGAATTTCATATATTTTAAATACAACAAATTTCTAGTTGTTGATATCATTATTAACAAGTAAACAGAATTAAGGGTCATAGTAACATTAGCTGTATCCTTGGTTTGATAGTCTTATGTACAATGGGTGCGATATCTAATAGTTTGCTAAAAAGTATACTGTAAATCGTGTGTAACTTCAGAGAAAAATTAAAAATAATTCATTCATATTGCACAAATTTCATTAGAATATGTTCAAATTCACATTACAATCATATAGACAAGAATACAAGTTTACAATATAAAAGAGAAGTTAAAATTAAGGAAAGCTAATATTATGGAAAGCTAAAATTTAACAGCATACTAAAATTAGATAAAATTGCATCACAGAAAAGTTAAACGATAAAATATTAATCAGACCTGCAACAAGATATTAAAACCGTCAATTAATTAATTCATCAATTAATTATGAATTATAACACATTAAATTACACTTCCAAATAAGGAGTACAAAACATCAAATGATTATTTCGATTAGGTGTTTTAAAAAATCTTAGCATCCACATAATCGTACCTATACAGTCGTTTCCACTTGCAATGTATCCCGAATGACACTCGCAGTCGTATGAACCATCAGTGTTGACACAATCTGCATTGACTGAACAATTGCCGATAATACATTCATCGATATCTATAAAGCAATAAAGATTTGGACTTCTTGATGTTTGATGCAAAATTATAAATTCCATTCATAAAACCTAAAAGCTTAACACAAAACTAACTTTAACTTGTCAGATAAATTGTTTCAAACATAGCATTTGTTTCAAAGAACAGTTTCACACTCTTAAACTTTGTCAGATAATTTTCAATGGTTGTTCTTCAGTACTACGTAACAAATATTCTATAAAACTCCCTGAGCAGTTTGCGTAGACATTTGTGTGCTAAAATAAAAAAGACTACCTCACAATAAACACAAATATTGAAAACGCAAAGCAATTAAATTATAAGTATTAAACACGAAATTATCATAGAAATAATTACCACCTTACAGTAATATAATATACAAACAAAATGCTGTATTTGGAAAAAAAATCTTACCAATACAGGTCCTTTGGTCATTTGCTAACTCATATCCCATATCACAATAGCATGTGTAACCTCCTTGTGTGTTGTTACAGCTTCCAACCCTCATATCACAAAGGTTTAAAGTGATGTTATCACACTCATCCACGTCTAGATAAAACGATGGTAAAATGTGTCAAAAATGTTGATATTAGCTTTTAGAGCTGACACTGACATGCACCAAAATTATCACGATGGGCCTAGCTCTCGGTATCCGCAGTGCAGTGTTAAAATAAGCATTAGGCAGTTTTCGCCGCACGATGGTAACCTTAACGTTAACGGATGACGTCATAATTTATTCATCTTGCCTTGTGGAGTACGTTAATTTCAGGATTTTACATGCTGTACTAACAAGTTAAGGTTAACGTCGTGCAGCGAAAACTACCTATTGTTAAATATTCCCAATATAAATGTCGAGATTTGTATCTACAGTTGATCTTTGTCACCACAATCATACTTATATATTTCCTATTTATATAGGGTCTATTAAAATTGTATTTGTTTCTTTTCTGATTGTATTGCTTTCAAAATAGTTAGTTTACCGGATAGTATTTAAAGTTGGTTTACACTACCTATACATGTTGTGTTATCTGTAATATCCTCCACGTATCCATTTAGACAAAGGCACTGTGGCTGGCCATCAAGAAAGCAGTCTGCATTGGTACATGAGCCTTCCGTACACATTTGAACAGCTTTGAAAGGAATACAGTTAGGAGGACGGAGATAATTTAACATAATATTGTACAACAAATTACAGCTGTTTAATTATTAAATATAACATGTTTTTTTTTCGTTTCGACACATTACTTTTCAATATATTGCACGATTCGTGATATGCAGACATATATTAATTCTAGTGTGAAACAATTAATACAATAAACACAACTAAGTTTTTACATATTTAACGTAGTGAAAATATCATCTCATAGTGTACCAATACAATACACTTGTTGTAGTCGAGGATGTAGTAGATTACTGTAGACTACAACGATGTTTTAGAGCATTCACTATCTTTTGGGCTTAGTCTAAGAATGTATTGTATCTGTTAGTGTGTTATAACTTAGTATTTAGTTTGTTTATTAAATTTAACAAAATACTCAAGTTCCTTATCTGCAAAACTTTGGATTTGTAGCTTATGATTTTTTTTTCAATATACATATCATATACTATTTTTTGTAAACTCACCTGTACAACTTATTTGGTTGGAATCGAGATGAAAACCCTCAGAGCAGTTACACATGTAGGAACCATCAGTGTTTATACAAATTTGTTGACAATTATCCGTTTGTAATTCACATTCGTTCACATCTATATTTATGTAATTTTAATGGATAAACAAATAATAAAGTTATTATATTAGTTTTTTTTAAATTATTTCGTAAGTATATTGATAAATCAATTCTTTTATGTCACATAAATATAAAAATGGTGATGGTAAAAATTTGAACGCATTGGTGTTACCTCTACACGTGGATCCATCATCAATAAATCCCTCCTGACATGTACAAACGAATGAACCAACAGTATTCATACAGTCAGTGTTCGCACCACAAATTGATAAAGAACACTCATTAACGTCTAAAGGAGTCAATAAACAGAGAATAGATTATGAATACCTACTGAGGTTATGAATATTAAACAATATTTACATTAAAGATGAATCCAGACATTCATAAAGTCAGCACACTCTGATCCTAATTTCCCTAAATGGCTTATAATATTTTCATGAAGGAAATTGCTAAATGTTGGTTATCTGGTACTGCTCAAATTATCATCTCCCTTATTTATTTACTGTGTGTATGACTATTTACTGACGGAGAGTACAACTGTATACAGTGGCGGCTCTAGGATATAATTTATGGGAGGGCTAAGATGTCCGACTGGGACTAAGTATTTATGGGTTTAACTATAGTGCGCAGCGTTATCTGAGGGCCGAAGACACGAGCTCGAGCTGGGTATGGGAAGGGGTGTCCTCTCCTCCCAAAACAAGATTAAAAAAAAAAATTGGGACTTCTACTAGATGGCAGGAAATGGCTGGGATGGGAAAACTAGGCCTATTTTTTTTTTGGTCCGACTGCCTGACGAGCTTTGGCCGATAGGGGGGCTTGACCAGACCAATGGGGGGGAGGCTTAAGCCCCCTCCCCCCGCTGGCGCCGCCACTGACTGTATATAATGATTGTATCATGCCATGTCAGTTAGCGTTACTTACCTGTACACTGTGTGCCGTCCCCGCTAAAGCCTTCATTACAGGTACAAGTGAATGATCCAACGGTATTATTGCATACTGCGTTAATGTCGCAGTTATCTATTTGCTGATCACACTCGTTAATTTCTGATAATGTAAAAAAGTGGATTAATACTCGCGTCTTAGATTATGTTAAATTTTAAGCTTAATATAAAAAATTTTTAGGCTTAATATCTAAAATAATATTTGTTTTTTAATCTTACTTTGAAAAATGACATCATATTAAAAAGAAGAAAACGAAAAAGCACCCACTTATACTCCTGGGTGGAAAGAAGCAATTAAAATAATAGCATACATATAAATGACGCATAGTACGCCTAAGAAAATTAGTAGTACGTATTATTAGTAGGACTAATATTAGATGGAGCTAAAAATAGATGTCAGTGCATACCAAGGCAGTGTTTTCCGTTTGGGTGCAAGACAAAACCAGGACGACAAGAACATATATAGCTTCCAAGTGTGTTTGTGCACAACTCTTCGTGTTCACAGAATGGCTGAGTATCGTCTCTGTCAATCATTGTAGCACATTCATCATAATCTGAAATACAACGTAGCTGAAAATTGTCAATTGTGGAACTCATAAATTGTTTAACTAATAATAATTTCACTTATATTTTCAATATTTTGAATCGCTCATAATACCATGTAATCATTGATTAAATTGGTGAGATTTTCATCTTTAAAGATAAACTCAAAACATAATTAACATATTGAATAGATTATTTTAAAAGATCAAATAAATAACCTCTAACCCGAAACAGGGTGAATAATTATTTTTTGCACCGATTTACTTTTTTCTACAAAATCTTTAATTCAATTAGAGTAAATCTTAAGGTCTATGCAATAGAATAAAACAAATATATTACAGTATTTAACTCTCCGTTAATCGACGAGTATCTATTTCACAAAAATGTTTAATTGTACGTTTATACCTTATATAACATACCAATACGCAATTCAAGGCTGAATAGTTCAACTTATAGTTTAACAAAAGAAAGAATAAAAAAACCAAAAAAAAACCAAAACAAACAAACACAGGTATACGGTACCTAGACTGTTCTATGGGTGTGTGTGTGACATGAGTGATTGAGTTGTAGATATTTCAAACAAAGCAAGCAATAAAAGTGTGAGAAATAATTTAATGTCATTTAAAAAATCTTTGTTTTTATTTTACTTTTGAGGTATATAAAAATGGGAAACACCTCTCTCTGATCTGCAGACTGTGTTATGTTCCTTAACTTTCTACCAATATAAAAAATCGAATCATGTCATTAAATGTGTATATTATAAAGGCATTATTTTCTTTAATTATTTAATAGGATTTATATAGTACACACACACAACACGTACTCATTTATACTCCTAGATAAAGAGTTGCAAATAATTGCCATTTTTCATCTAAACACTCAGCTATCACTATTAAAATTACCATAGCATTTGAAACCATCTCCAATAAGACCAGAAGGGCATAAGCCACAAGTGTTTCCTTCTTCGGGGGCTTCATTATCTCTACAAGTGACACCTGGATGGCAGGGATCATCGAGACAGGCATCGTAATCTTCGGAGCAGTCAATACCTGACCATGCTTTTGGGCAGATACATTTTACGAGCTAAAAAAAATTTAAAAAAAAACCAAAAAAACAAAACAGAAAAACTTAGACTACGATTTTTACATTAAATAATTGGTCGATCATCGATTTAACATCGTTTGAAGCTTCTCATTTATATTCGATTCAATTTCCCTAAATATTTGAGGCATGCTGTGGCAAAATGACTAAATTTGTCTCACAGTATTTAATAAATCAATAGTTAATAAAAATATTAAAATAAGTATGTATAAGTAGTTTAAACAAAGTAATTAGCATAGTAAAATCTTGCAGAATATTGTGTTAATTACTTTGTGTACTTCATATATTTGAATGATAAGATGCGTTTTATATTGAGTTGGTTTCTGAAAAAAAAAACCCCCCCCCCCCCCCAAAAAAAAAAACCAAAAAGAAAAAAAAAAAAAAAACAGAAAAACTTAGACTTCGATTTTTACATTAAATAATTGGTCGATCTTCGATTTAACATCGTTTGAAGCTTCTCATTTATATTCGATTCAATTTCCCTAAATATTTGAGGCATGCTGTGGCAAAATGACTAAATTTGTCTCACAGTATTTAATAAATCAATAGTTAATAAAAATATTAAAATAAGTATGTATAAGTAGTTTAAACAAAGTAATTAGCATAGTAAAATCTTGCAGAATATTGTGTTAATTTGTAACTAATTACTTTGTGTACTTCATATATTTGAATGATAAGATGCGTTTTATATTGAGTTGGTTTCTGTTAGTGCATGTAAACAAATATTATTGTCTACTGTTTTATTCGGCCAACGCTTGGTCCGAAAGGACAATTTACACAAGTCCACCCACCACCATGATCATCTTTATGCGGTCAGTTTTTACAATTTTACTCAATGTTTGTGAACGTATAAGCCTATATCATAGAAACAGACAAATATTTGTTAGAATTCGTACAGAAAACATATCGTCCACAATGTCAAATCCGTTGAGTAAGGCGTTGTAGTCGCATTCACCATTTACACATGGACAAAGTCGAACTTCCAGGATAATGCTAGAAGAAAGAGTACCATCGGAGACAACCAGGTTGACAGTGACAATATCTGTGTTGTTGGGTGTCCAAGTAAATTCGCCATCTAATAGACAAAAAATATTTGTATAATAAGTCTCTTTTGTGTGATATAATGATAGTAATAAGTGTAATATTTTTATTTCCAAAAAATAAAATAACGTTTAAAAACAAGTTACATCTCAACGTACTCGAGTTTATGGAAGCACCCTTTATATCCGTTCCTAGCGAATATGTCAGTGAGGAAGTTGAGTCAGCAGCAGTTGCAACCACTTTAAGAAGAACTGGATCACCCAACTTCACAAATATCTGTCGAGAGCCGTTGAGTACCGGAATAGGGCTCATGTCCAGAATGTCAGTAATATTCGGTGGAAACAGCCCTTGAAGATATTAAATAAAAGCCATTATAGACCAAAGTATGTGTACTTTGTAGTATTCGGTGCTTTGTCCTCATGTCATCCTGGTATGCAGTAATTAGTATACTTTCATTGTTATTAAAAATTACACGTTTAAAAATATAGCAACAGTACAAGGGTCTTAGTAGAAATGGTAGATAGTGAACAATTAATAAAATATAGTATAACATAATACAGATAGAACTACCTCCCACCGGACACCATCTCGGTATTTCTAATTGAAGTTTTGCAAATGCTAATATAACTATGTAATATCTACGTAGGCCTATTAATCAGTGAAGAATATTTTTACTTCACTGCTCAAAAAACAGAATTTATTAGTATTTCGACTTGAAAAAAAAAAATTAGAATGAAAATGAGATCTGAAAGAGGGATGTCAATGGGAAAAATAGGGAAATGGGCATGGGATAAGGAATGGGAATTGGAATACGAAACTAAGTAATTATATTAACGATAAGGATGATAATAATTCTAAATAATGAACAATGAAAGACAATGAAACTAATAATTTCATATAATTTTTAGTAACATGGTAATTTATTTTTTATAGTATGATAAAAATGACCATATTGACACTAATGCTAACAAACAACAATAAAAAGAATAACCAAAAAAAAAAATATATATTGGAAACCCTAACAGTTGCACAAAATTACATTATGAGATACCTAATATCATTTCGTCTTCTTCGAAAACATCGTTTGTTTCTTTGGTGCTGATACCAATAGCTATGTTTTTCGTTACCAATGCGTCGTAAAGACATTCTTTACTCGTTCCACAAGCTTCCTGGACGTTTTGTAAAAATTCATTGTCGGCTTCACTTATCAGTTCGTCGGTAAACATTGGTACAAATTGTAAGTCGTTAATGTCGCTGTAGGTATTTCCGGGAGTGTATGTAAAAAAAGATTCATCTTCTCGAACTCTCCCTATGAATAAACATAACATATTAAAAACAATTACCTATAGCCTTAATGTGACAAATGATATGCTAATATATTAATTATGATACGAAAACCACTTCCAAATAAATAATATACAACGAAAATAACCACTATAAATAAAAATAAATAAATAATAATGATAATAATAAATTAATAAATAATTAATGATAATAAATAATAAAAATAAATAAATAAATAATTATAAAATAATAATAATAACAAAAAATAGGCTAATAATAATAATAATAATAATAATAATAATAATAATAATAATAATAATAATAATAGTAATAATAATAATAATAATAGCCTAATAAAAATGATTTACAATACGTTTCCCTACATAATATTTGATTGTTTTTTTCTTTCAATCGTACTATACATACTATCGTTAGTTTTCCCTGTTAGAAAAGGATATAATTTTCTGACTTTTGATTAAACTCTAATGTGCTTTAAAAATGAATGCAAACTAAGCCAAGTTTAGTTGAGAGTTGTCTTCATTAAATTATTGGTTATTCTATGCTTTATTTATATATTTTGATTGTGTGACTAATATGCCATTGTATAATATGCCCTCTAGAGGAAAGAAAAAGGTAGTTCAAATAAATGGCAGTGAGAAAACTTTTGAACTGATGTGTCTTATCTTTATTTCAACCATTCGTTGTAAGAAGTTATATCAGGAACGGACTTGTAAAAATTTGTTATTAACTCATTGTGTATTTCGTTTTTTTATAAGCAGAAAAGTAATAGATAAAATGAATAGTAGATCTCAAGAGTGTATACATAAACTATGATTTCATGTTTATTTTCTGTGCAACATGATCTTTGAAACAATTTATAAATTGATATTTATTACATATTAATATAATCTAAGATAAGATAAATTGATATTTATTACTTACAACTGTTTCCAACATCAAAAAGTTGTCGCTCTGTTAGATTTTGACTTGGATTTAAACATAAGCTTCCATTACGGTAGCAAACGTCGTCACTTATATTACCATTCCATATACCTAAAACATTAGGAACAACAAATGACAGTTAATACATAACAATTGTTTTTTTTCAAATCGAAAAAATAGCTGTTTTGAAAGACAAACAAACAAAAACTTTTATTACGGTAGCAAATAAATGTTGTCACTATTATCAGTATTCCATATCCCTAAAACATTCAATAATTTGTTATAAAAATTTTAAAAAGCAGTATAAACTCGTGATAGTCATTATACTCAACAACGAATGACAGCTAATACATAACACATTTTTTTCATATTGCAAACGTATAGTTGTCTCGAAAGACAATGTCTCTTGGTGTAGGCCTATAAGCAAAATGTAGCAAAAATGAGAGGTTGCATATTTTGGCTATGTTTTGTAAAAATTTGGATATGTTGTAAAAATAGACATCACTGAATATAAAAGTATGCGCAACATTTTTTTCTATGTGCAAGTGATGTAACTATCAATTTAATTTCAAAATGGCCGTCATCATTTAAACATTTTATTACTAATAATTGTACGTTTATGACATAAAACTACATGTATTTCTTGTTAAAACAAGATTTTAACATTGATCATGACTCTTAATACATCGACCCTTAAAGGTGTCATACAAATATTTTGAAATTGAATTACTTTGTAGTAGTATACAAATTATTTACTTGAGCATAGAAATTGTTTATTTATTTGGGCAAGAAAATCCAAAACTACTGTAAAATGTGTACCCTGATTTGTATACTGGATAATGATAAAAATAGTAAGGACATCTAGTGATTGGAAGATTTTCGCTGTCAATATTTTTTTTGTAAATACACTAATTTCCATGTTAAATTATTTCATAAGCAATTCAATTTTAAATTATTATTTTTTTCTTGGGGGGTTGGGTATTTTCTATGAGACATTATGAAAACTCTAAAAATTCTTAGACCGTCAGCATATTTCAAAATGCCGACAAATTAATAACTTAATAATTAATATTGGATGCCAATTTGCGTAGTATTAAATATGGTTTTTCTCTGTAGTTATCAGCCACCGGCACCTTCTGGTCAATTGGTTCTTATGCACCTGGGTGATTGTGATTCTTAGAAGTAGGACATTGGTATTGGAATTGTATATGTATTATTCTGCTTTAATAGGTCAGTCAATTATATATGGAACTAAAATAAATTTTGTTTACCAAATGCAAAGTATTTTCATTTTTGTTGAAATCTGTATTGTCTTACCGAATAAGCCTTTTGTCCGACCCAGGTATGTTTGTGGATACTGCAGTACAACATCCAACATTTTTTCAGTAACAGCAACCCCAATGTTTATTCCTGAAGACCAAGATGCAAACACACGGTCACTACCACTGGTAAAATTCTCCATGCTTATGAACAACGAAAACGAAGGATCATTAACGTTGAAATAATCTCCTGTAAAGAAAATAATTAAGAAATGAAAACGAGGAAAACGAAAAATAGAATACGAGGAAGCACAAAACGAGTTTTCTATTTTAGCAGTATTGTTTTAATACTCGTCCTGGAGTTTGACTTACCGTCCATTAGATCATTTACTCTGACTTCCTCGGTACCATTAACAAGAATACTGAAACCTGTACCATTCTCCCACATTGTAAACTGAACCTACAGAGGTATGAAGTAATCATTGAAATATATTTATATACTACTGTTATTTATAGTGTTAAACAATAACCTATATACTTTATATGGTGGCAAGTTTAAATTTCGCCCACCTATCTATCTTTTGGAAAAAGCAAAAACTATACCACTGTTTCAATCTCCAGAGAATAAGATGCAGCAAATGCCGAAAATATTGTGGCCAGTATCGGGCCACTTAGCGGGTCTGACATTCGGCCAATCAGCGTGAATGAACCATCATCAAGAGTAGAACAAATGTACTCTCCCTTTCCATTGAAGGTATACGCGTAATTATCAGATGTTGTCAGATGAGGATCGCCCCAGAACCAACCTTGAAAAATAAACAATTAAACTTATTTTAAATACATGATTGGGTCTGCATTTATTTAATACTTTTTATACTTTATGTAATTACCTTTTATCCAGTAGTCATCTTTATAATAGTAATGTATAATAAATTATAATCTTACTTGTTTTTGGTGGTCTATAATTAGTACAAGATGCAGGAGGGCGCTTTTCGTAGTATAGATTACAGTAACTAGGGTCGTTAGAAGCTGTACAACATTCATATCTTGGAAATAGGTCATCGACTGATAAATAAATTTAAGAAAATAACACAATTATATTAATATTAATCATTTGACTTCAAAATAATTAGACCGGAATTTTCTAAAAATTCATATATTTCTTTTTTTGTTTTGAAAGGTTAAAATAAATTGAAGTAGTATGGCTTGTATTGTTAAAATCCTGGTTTTTCAATCACAATAAAATTTGTTAATTTTATAAAAAATTATTACTTTTTTAGAATCTACAATAACTAAATTGTACATATCCTTCAAAATATAAATATTATAAACATGTGTTTTTACATTGAATGGTCAGTACAGTTCACTTAATCAACCTGTTAAATAAACTTTATTTCTCCCCTAGAATGTGTTGTTTAAATCCAAGTATTCAAACAAATATTTTTAATACAGAATGCATTCCTTTTAATTTATTTTTTTAATTAAGCAAATCATGAAATGAGGAACAAAACCCATTTGAGAACCTCAAACACCAGGAATGGAGACGCCAATATTATCAGTTTTGAAAGAATGTAAACTTCTTTGGAGATGTGCAAAAAGACAAAAAGGTAGTGTCTTTAATGCATACCTTGTAAAAAAACAATATTAAGTCAGTTAAAGGGTAGAAACTATTTCACTTACGCAGGTACTCGTAGTAATTCTGTATAATTCCCCATCTTCCGAATTGAAATTGTGTCCGTAGAGCAAAACTACTAGCTAGAACTTCGAAATACCCTTCAAGCAATTGATTGCCGTAGTAGCAACATCTTACGCCAGCGTTGTTACGAGGAATGACGGACTGAAAACATCTCACTGGCAATACTATTAGTAAACAGAATTTAAAAGATGCTATTGAAAATTAATTGTATGGTTATATTATTATTACTACAACAATAATAAAAATAATATTAAATACTAGTAATGATGCTTCTTGAATTCCTAACAAAACGCGGACCGGGATAGATGGCCGATTCCATTATTTTCTTTTACATTCGAGGGTAAAAATAGAATTTATGTGACCTCGAATTTGGAATTTGGCCTTTTTTCCCTAAAATGTAATCACCTCTTTCTTATATATCAGATACCAATGTACTATATTTTATTATGATCCATATTCTTAGTTCTTGCGTAATCTTGTTAACAGAGACAGGATCATGAATAGGCACCTTGTTCAACACCGTTTAGGTACCTTATAATTGTCTTTTAATTAGACCTTAGCAACAAAAATTAAAGAGGGAGGATTAGATAAGAAGTTGAACGTTTTTTGCCATTATTAGTAATGCACTATACATCAGTAAGGCCACTACATTGTTTTTGTTTTTGTTTTTGTTTTTTTTAAAGATGATTATTCATGTTCAAGGAGCATAGGGCTGCATGATTTTGATATTCTTACACTAACCTGTTGAAGAGAGTACTCTTTGTAGGTAATCTGGGTCGTAATTATTAGCAGTCAGAAATGAATCAACGTCATTGCCGCGTCCCCTTCCAAAGTTATGCAATGAAATTGATGGGGCCCACGTAAAACGGCCGTCTACACGTGCTTGCCAGAAAGTACACGGACACGTCGTTAGACGCTGCGAAACCCAAGTGTCTGCAGCGGGCTCCCTTTTATACCAGTCAGTACATCTCTGAAGTGGATTAACAGTTGTCTCAGTGTTTTCTTCCAGTCTAAATATCCATCTGCCTAACTGACCACTGTTTCCAATGAATTTGTTTGGTCGGTACTGTTCAAAAATCGTTATTGGCGATGGCCTGGTTAGAGTGAATGAATCAGTCCCATTTGGATTAAGTATCAATGTAAAGTCACTGTTTGCGTTTGCGTTGAATCCAATTAAAGCATCCGCTGGACTCTCGGTATTCCCATTCCATTTCATGCCATCATTTTCGTAATTAAACAGAACAAAACTGTATGTGCCATCTGTAGCTAGGACGCCTTGGAATGTGTTGGTCTGAAATAATGTTAATTATGTACTATGTATAATATATTTTCTGATATTCGGCTACTTTATCTCATCAAAGAACAATCATAACAAACGTGTTGATAAGCTATAGAAATTCACAAACACGACAGTACATCAAGATATCGGATCTGTTATCAGCGATTTGGTTGTCAATGTTTAATAAGACCTAAACCAAAGCAGCACATTTCCTGCCACAAGCATATTTTTTTCTGCAGTACACATAAGCAATATAGATTTCTTTTAGCCAATTAAAACACAGAAAGCCCACGATGACGTCAGACATACTCATGAATTAAAATCAAAAGACTCACAAAAGCTTTCGCATGTTAGCTCAGTAATATAGTAGGGTGGGCAATTAAGAAAGCACTGGGTTGCAATTCATAGGTTGGATTATTAATTATGAGCACTGGCTTTATACGATAGTATGGGTTATTAAAATCAATAAGTTACTATCTATAAGGTGGGTTATTAACAGCGCTGGTTACTATAGGCTGTTGTATCAATTGAATTTTCTTCCAAAGTGCTTTTTAGAAATTCTATATTTCTTATGTGTGCTGCTGAAAAAAAAGCATTTCCCGCCAAACTGGAAACCATGAAATTATTTTGGCTTTCCTTCAATTAGTTAAAACCAATGCCACTCGCTCGGATTTCTTGCTATGCCAAACCTCCATGCACAGACTGTGAATACTGGCTTTTGTATTTGCCTTTTAACACATAATTTCAATAATTGTTTAATTTTCCACCAATCAACAGCAAGTTTTTGTCTGGATTCAACAATAATAAAGATGATGATGATGATGATGATAAAAATAAAATAATAGCATTGCAAAATCTACACTATACTCGCAATACTTACCTGTTGTGTATTGTTTTCGTATGGCCTTTGATGTATATCTGACCAGGTAGCAATCAGCATCCAAGTTGGTCGAAAGTTATGATTATTAATAGCCTGAGGTGAGTTGTTTATATCCTCTGCAACCGCATTAATCATCTCCGAGTCCTCCAAATTCGATTCAAAAAATTCCTAGATAATAGCGGATAATAGAGTACAAATTACAAATCATATGCTTATATTGATATGGATAATAAAAATAACAGCTAGATTTCCTGTGTATCTGTAAATCATAGCATAGAGCTTTTCTTCATTGCCATAATGAAAATTGATGTTCAAATTAGAAAATAATAATAATAATAATCATAAAACAAATAAAGTAAAAAAAAAACACACTAAAAGCAAAAATGATATCATACTAAAGAAAATTATGAAGAAAAACATTGGAACAAACCAGAAGTCACTGATACTCGAACTACAACTGCAGTCGTAACAACAAGCGTAATGTTGAGAGTTCTTAACATTTATGTTAAAGAACCCGAAAACTGCAGAAATTAGTGTATTTTAGTTTGTACCTTGTGTAAGGTTAAGAGACGAGAGGGAAACTTGCTCACTCATATTACAGTAATGGTATGTCTAACATAGCTGTAGTTACTTTGTAAAGCTTTAGAAAACGCAAATTGAATTAAAATAACATTTTAATTACCCGTATTTAAATTTCAAAGTACGTAAAATGACGTCATTGTTTAATAGGCGCATCTTTGATGTGGCCTTTTTGTTGGAAGCTTGAAAAACATCATAGCATGGAAGGTGACCAAAGTGCCGGGCAAAACAACACAGAGCAAAACATAGCAAAATTGGATACAAAAAGTATATATATATAAGATGTGTATAAGAGACAGTCATCATCCTCATGATGATGGTAGTGACTGGTCAGGGGAGGATTTAGAGGGGGGCTAAAC